CCAGTCATCTTGACGTATGAAGTCAAGTGGGCTTTAGGAAGCATTACAATGAACAAAGGTAGTGGAGGTGATGGAATTCCAGTTGAGCTACTTCAAATCCTAAAAGGTGATGCTGTTAAAGTGCCGCACAAAATATGCCAGCAAGTTTGGAAAACTGAGCAGTGGCCATGGGACTCGAAAAGGTCAGTTTTCATTCCAATTCCAAAGAAAGGCAATACCAAAGAACGTTGAAACTACCACAAAATTGCACTCATTTCACATGCTAGCAAAGTAATGCTCAAAGTTCTCCAACTAGGCTTCAAAAGTATGTGAATGAAGAACTTCCAGATGTTCAAACTGGATTTTGAAAGGTCAGAGGAACCAGAGATCAGATTTCCAACATCCACTAGATCACAGAAAAAGCAAGAGAATTCCAGAAAACTATCTACATCTATTTCATTGACTATTCTAAAGCCTTTGACTATGTGGATCACAACAAACTGTGGAAAATTATTAAAAAGATGAGAATACCAGACAACCTTAATTGCCTCCTGTGAAACCTATATTTAGGTCAAGAAGCAACAGTTAGAACTGGACATGGAACAACAGACTGGTTCCAAATCGGGAATGAAGTATGTCAGGCTCTATATTGTCATCTGCTTACTTAATTTCTGTGCAGAGGTACATGAAGTGAAATGCTGGGATGGATGAAGCACAAGTTCAAATCAATATTGCCAGGAGAAATATCAATAACCTTAGATATGCAGATGGAACTATCCTTATGGCAGAAAGTGAAGAAGAACTAAAGAGCCTCTTGAGGAAAGTGAAAGAGGAGAGTGAAAAAGATGGCTTAAAACTCAACATTAAAAAAAACTAAGATCATGGCATCAGTCCCATCACTTAATGACAAATAGATGGGAAACACTGGAAATAGTGACAGACTTTAATTTCTTGGCTCAAAAATCAATGGAGACAGTGACTGCAATCATGAAATTTAAAGAAGCTTGCTCCTTGGAAGAAAAGTTATGACCAATCTAGACAGCATATTAAAAAACAGAGAGATTACTTCGCCTACAAACATCCATCTAGTCAAAGCTATGGTTTTCCCAGTAGTCATGTATGGATGTGAAAGTTGAACCATAAAGAAATCTGAGTGCAAAATAAGACATGATGCTTTTGAAATGTGGTGTTGGAGAAGACTCAAGAGTCCCTTGGACTCCAAGGAGATCAAACCAGTCCATCCTAAAGGAAATCAGACCTGAATATTCCCTGGAAGGCCTGATGCTGAAGCTCCAAATCTTGGCTATCTGTTGTGTAGAGCCAATTTGTTCCAAAAGACCCTGATGCTTGGAAAGTTTGAAGGCACGAGAAGAAGGGGAAAACAGAGACTTGAAATGATTGGATTCTATCACTGACTCAATGGACTTGAGTTTGAGCAAGCTTTGGGAGATGAAGACAGGGATGCCTTGTGTGCTGAGATCCATGAGGTCACAAAGAGTTGAACACAATTTACTCACTTAACAACAACAAAAATAGCTAGTTTTATAAATGGTTGATCTCTTTTCTTTATAGTATATTTTCCTTTGCCAATGAAATTTTTCCTTTTGCAATGTTCGTATTTTTACTTGTCATCTTTTCTGCTTAGATAAGTCCCTCTAACATATCTTGTAAAGACAGTTAGTAGTGCTGAACTTTTTTTGTTTTTCTTATCTCTAAAACTCTTTTTGTCACCTTCAAATTTGAATGATAGTCTTGATGGGTGGAATATTCTCATTTATAGGGTTTTCCCTCTAATCACTTTAAATATATTGTAACACTCCCTTCTGGCCTATGCACTTTCTGCTGAAAAATCAGTTTATAGACTTATGAGAAGTCCTTTATAAGTAACTAGTTGCTTTTATCTTGTTACATTTAATATTCTATCTTTAACTTTATATTTTGCAATTTTAATTACAGTGTCTTAGTGTGGCCCTCTTTTGTTTTATCTTATTTGGAATTCCTTTGCTCCTTGGACCTGAATCTGTTTCCTTTCACAGGTTAGGGGAGTTTTCAGCTATTATGTCTTCAAATAAGTTCTCTGCCCCTTTCTCTCTCTCTTTTCCGTCAGTCCCCTATACTAGTGGTCTTGAGACTCACTAGGGGGCCCACTATAATAATAGAGTGCTTGATGTTGCTTCAGAAGTATATTTTTGTCTTGTTCCCTCTTTGGTACATATTTCTATCTCCTTACTTTGCCGAATTTCTGTATTTATTTCTAGTGTTAGACAATTTGATTACCTGATTTTGGAGAAGTGGACTCATGTAGGAGATATTCTATGGAGGCTATGAACACATTCTCTTCTGGTCAGCAGAACTCTATGCTCTAAGCGTGCCCTCTATGTGGCACTTTCTGTTGTGTCAGGGCCAACTTCTTTGTTGACCATCAGAGCCGTACATTCTGGGAGCTCATCTTCTTGGTACAGGACACCTTAGTTGGTGAGCTTAATGTGGGGCTAGGACCTCTTTCTCCTTGGAGAGAAGCTCTGCATTTGTTATTGTTCTCCTGTTTATGGGTTGCTTAGAAAGGGGTATGGGTCTTGACTGTATTATATCTTTACTCCTCATATCCATTGCATTGCAGCTCTTTATATCTTCAGTTGTGGGAAATCTTCCAGCTAGTCTTGAGGTTCCTGTTGATAGTTGCTCTGTAATTGCAACTTTGGTGTACCCATGGGAGGAGGTAAACTCAGGGTCTTCCTATTCCTCCATCTTGGCAACATTTCTCCCAAAAATAGGACTCTTACATGCATAGGCAATGCAACCATGTGTGAGTACTGTTTGAAAGTATGCTTGTTTTGGACTTTGTCCATAAGAGTCCTATGTGTCAGATATGAACAACTGGAATAAAAAGTACCATTGCTTAAAAACTACCATTGTAAATAAGCAACTTGAAAGGTAAAAGAAATCATATTTCACATATGATAAATACCTTTTACTATATTAAGGCATGATTATACTTTTATTTTCATCTATTATTACTCTCTGCATTCCTGTGTTCATGTTGAATTTCAGCCCTAACAAAAAAACAAAACGAAAACAAAAAACAGAAAAACTAAAAACTAAAACCTGCAGTTCAACATCTGAGCCTTATGCCAGGTCAAATATGTTCAAACAAACATAGTAACACAGTCAGGTACTACATCAAAGCGGCTTCATGGGTTTGTAAACCTGGTTCATTTAAACATGAGCAAGAATGATGCTCATGGATAAAAGTGTGAAATAAAACACATGATGACTGGGATGGATTCTGCATGTTGATACCCAGCTGATCTTAGACTTCAAAATGTGGCAGCTTTCCCAAATTCTACAAAACCTCCTAATCTTTCAGGGAAGTTTTTAAACCTTCTGAGTTAGATACATGTTTCTTTGAGGAAAAACTAAATTCAGAGCCACTGATTTGAATCCTCACTTCCAAAATAAACCCCAATTCATGAAGGAGCATCTCTTAAAAGATTGCAAGCATGATTTAACTATAATCTATCAAGTTTAGGTATTTAACTATAATCTATCAAGTTTAGGTATTTTATTACCCCTTAGTTTATCCAACTACCATTCATATTTTATTTTTGACCTTTCACAAATTCAAAGGATATCATCAGACAGTTCAACACAAATCATGCCAGATATAAAATTAACGCCATCAAAAGTAAATATTTCAAAAATCCGAAACTCCAATGCATTTGAAAGTTGACTGTGATCAGGCACACTTTATTAAAATGAAAATATATTTTAAAAATTACATAATAACAAAAAACACTGAAAAGCAACATAATTTAAGAATGATTTTTAACTCCAGCTATCTCTCATTCTCTTTTTTTACAATACATTTTAGAGAGAAGTTGTCTTAATTTTGTTTTCTTTTTTAATTTCTTTCACATTAAGGTTTTCCTCTAAGAAGGTATGATGAAAAACGAAATGTACATATTCACTATTTGTGTTAGCTTAATTCCTATTCCATTCCACTCCCTATGTACCATCTACCCAATAATGCTTTAAATCCTTGCATACCCTTACAAAAAAATTCAGTTCTTTAACATGGCATCGGGATCTCACCTTACATTACTCTTCCATGTTTATTTCCTCATTAACTCCTCTTCAGTCTCTGTGCTTCAGCCTTTCTGGCCATCTTTCAGGTAATCTCTGGAATTCAGGTACCAACCTTCTGTCTACTTTGTGTGTGTGTATGGTTACTTTATTATTATTATTATTTTTGATTTTCACTTTGCCTGGGGTAGTTATTCCCTCAATCACCCTCTTCAAGAAAGAAAGAATGACTGAATACTCAAATTTGTCTTTTTTAATATATGGGTCAGGGAACCTATACATGGTTATGATGACTTGAATGATCAACTTTTTAGAGAAAGGTATAAACTGCACCCAATTCAAGTTCCCCTTAGGGTTTGCAAAAATACAACTGCAAATGGAAGAATAATTAAGGCAGGTTAGTTTTTTACAGAATCAGAACAATAAACTACATCACCCTTTTTATAAGGTACTTTTTATAGGACCTTTTTATAAAAATGCATCCGAAGTCATATTTAAAACAGCATACAAACACTACTTAGCTAAATCACAAGAAGATCTTTCAAAACTTGCCTTATGACCTGAATCAAAGTTGCTAACATCATTTTGATGGGCCATTTGACTTTTCTGTATATGTGTGAAAACTACATGACAAGAAAAAAAAAATGCCAGAAAGCAAAAAGATTTCTTACAAACTTGTGATAATCAAGGTGAACCGACTGGATAAGGGATGTAGAAATCAGACCCCAAGGAGACCAAACCCTGGAAAATCAGTTACTAGCAATAGCAAAAGTTATCCATAATTTTAACTGTAATTTCTTGCACATAAATGATTTACCATTTCTCTTGAGTTCACAATAGTAAGTCACCTTCAAACACAATTTTCTGTATTTTTTTTTTTTTCTTTCCACCTTCAACAGCCTACTTAACAGTAAAATGTAGTAAAAGAAATGCTAGGTTCCTGTGATGAGAAGATCCCATGGACATTATACTCTTCTATAAATTAAGGAGGAGCTTATCAAGGGTGGGGGGAGAAGAAAGGAGGGATGTTGGTGTGAGAATAGGAATGATAGTCCAGGATTTCTATGTTGGAGCTAGGATTCTTAGCCAGGAATTCCTGGTGAGATTATTTATTGATTTTCTCATAAACCACCTAAGGTGGTGGTTGTTTGTTTTTCCTTACAGCATGATAAATGTCTGACTTTACTTTTGATAAAAAGATTTTCACTTTTTAGAGGTTAAAAGAAGCCTCAGTAAAGAGGTTTCTGAGAAGAAGAATTTCCCAGCATGATATTTAGGGGCGGCAAACAGTTTTCTGACCTTCCTTCATGGGTTTCCAAGGGACAGGATCTCAGGAAACATCCAGGGAGTACAAAGAAGTAATCAGAAGCATGGCAATTGACTGGGTACAGAGAAAAAGCATGATTAAGACATATTTGTTGGCAATAGACCTGAAGTCTGTGACATTATTCCTGGGTGGAAAGACAGACTCATCACAGAGATCAAGGACTAGAAGTTTGACTTTCAGAATCAACATCTCCCCTATCCTCAAGTTCACAATGGAAGCAAGATGGCTACTTACCTTCCTGCCCCCAGTGTTGATGCGAAGGGGTGTCAGAAAGGGATCAAAGATCATATGACTAGTCTCTATGTTGACTGGCGACTGCCGTTTCCCCACAGAGCAAAGATTCCAAGCTGAGTTCACCAATCCCCAGAAAGAAGGAACTAGAAACAGGAAAAAAAAAAACAAAAAATAGAATTAAGCTGGGTGGAAGGCTCGGGAAACAATGCAATAAGAACTATGTCACAAAAGTCATAAAATCAGAGAACTATACAATGTTTTCCACCCATAGACATCCTTGGGTCTCATTATGGCAGTTTCCTGGCCTGAATTTTGGTCAGCTTCTCTAAGTCTTACCTTCATGATGTCTTAAAATCAAAGATTTTATTTCAGAGCCACTTATTCTGTGGCCTCTTTGATGGGTACAATCAATATTAATACCTTAATAAGAAGATGGCATAGGCCAGCCACATCATCTGTTCATATTGAGGTGCACTAAATATTTAGCAACTCCGAGCTGATACTTAGCTTCTTTGTTTGACAGGAATGATATAGGAATCAACCTTATCCTAGAAACTAGCATTGAACATATACAAGGCATTATGCTATATGCTGTCAAGACCAAACTGAGGGAGTGAATTATTTTATGAACCACCCAATCAATATCAGGGGGCTTCTCTGGTGGCTCAGTGGTAAAGAATCCACTTGCCAGAGTAGGGACTCAGGTTCAACTCCTGGATGAGGAAGATCTCCTGGAGAAGGAGATGGCAACCCACTCTAGTATTCTTGCCTGAAGGATCCCATGGAGGGAGGAGACTGGCAGGGTACAGTCCATAGTATTGAAAAGAATCAACCACAGGTGAACAACTGAGCATGCATGCATGCAATCAAGGCCAAAAAAAACAGCTGGGCAACTTGACTTAATGTAACAGCAGCTGAAGAATGTGTTCATTGATAAGCAGAAAAGGATGGAATTGAGTGCTGAATGGAAATATCCAAAAGGAAACCATCCACTTACCTTCAGTGTCACATTAAAGAATCTATTAAATAAATCTGTCCTATTTCCAGTCCTATTTTACTCTGTTTAATAAAGTTAGCAGAATAGTAGTGTAGCTAACCTACTAATTTTATATCAGTGACGATCAGAATCTGTATCTTCAACATTTCCCTGCCCCCTTAGTATCTCTCTGGATCCATGCATCATGCCTCTGAGATTATATGGTCATCATTCATTAATCCATCTACTGCATCCATCAGCAGTACAGTGAACTATTATTGCATGTCCATCGCTGGGTTAGGTTTAATTTTGAAGGCAGATACACGTAAGTACAATTATCACACTGGGGGTAGGGAACAGTATGCAGTTAAGTCAAGTGTGTATAAAACTCTAGAAGAGGGGCACCAAAGCCTGCAGCAGAGGAAGTAAAGAACATAAGCTTAACAATATAGAGCCACAACCCTCTCAAAAATATCTACTGTCTCAGGAACTCAAACTTAATACAATTTTTAATTTACAGCAGTCATCACTCCTTCCAATGTCATGGGTGAAGAAAACAGGCAAGAGAGGAATATGGCAAATATCTGCCAAAGATACTATGAAAGAGAAAAGTATTGGGCCAGATAGTATGTCTAATCTCATCTAAATTCAAAATTCTATAACCCTTTTAACTGTTACAGCAATTACTGTGTAGAAGTGGGAGAAGAGATAAAAACAATTTCCTTAGAGCCTTAGAAGAATGCTTCAACACCAAAATTAGGTGGGCTTTATTAAAGTGAAAAAGTTGGCTTAAAGCTTAACATTCAGAAAACTTAAGATCATGGAATTTGGTCCCATCACCTCATGGGAAATAGATGGGGAGACAATGGAAAAAGTGTCAGACTTTATTTTTTTGGGGCTCCGAAATCACTGCAGATGGTGATTGCAGCCATGAAATTAAAAGATGCTTACTCCTTGGAAGGAAACTGATGACCAACATAGACAGTGTATTAAAAAGCAGAGACATTACTTTTTCAACAAAGGTCCGTCTGGCCAAGGCTATGGTTTTTCCAGTGGTCATGTATGGATGTGAGAGTTGGACTGTGAAGAAAGCTGAATGCAAAAAAATTGATGCTTTTGAACTATGGTGTTGGAGAAGACTTTTGAGAGTCCCTTGGACTGCAAGTAGATTCAACCAGTCCATTCTGAAGGAGATAAATCCTGGGTGTTCATTGGAGGGACTGATGCTGAAGCTGAAACTCCAGTACTTTGGCCACCTCATGCGAAGAGTTGACTCATTGGAAAAGACCCTGATGATGGGAGGGATTGGGGGCAGGAGGAGAAGGGGACGACAGAGGATGAGATGGCTGGATGGCATCACCAACTCGATGAGCATGAGTTTGAGTAAACTCCGGGGGTTTGTGACGGACAGGGAGGCCTGGTGTGCTGCGATTCATGGGGTCGCAAAGAGTTGGACACGACTGAGCAACTGAACTGAACTATTGTGAAATATGGCAAATAACTTAATTTGGATAAATCCATGGTAATAAGCCTCTGGTAGCTCCATTCCTTTCAACTTAAAAAGTTTGAATTAACTTTCCAGTTATAACAGATTTTCAAAATGGCAGCAATGACCAGAGTTTCATAAGAAGAAAGAGAAGGACGAGGAGGGGAAAAAGTAGATAGGTGAATATGTACATGTTGTTCCTTGGCAATTTCATTTCCCATCATTATTTAAGCTATTTTATCACTGCAAGTCACTTTATCATTAGAAGATACCGTGACCCAGGAAAATTAAAATTTTAAGGAAGCTCTTGCATTAAAATTATATTTTTAAAAATATAAACTATCATCTCTAAAATGCTCTTTTAAATTCACAGAATTTTATACTTATTTCTCAATCATTTCAAGATTATTATAAAAATAAAGCCTCCATCAGTGCATATTCCTACCTGTTTTTGTCAGTGATGTACATAAACATGGCCAATGTGAGGATCCTGGGGATATATTCATGGCACTGCTACAAATTAGCTGTGTTACCTTAGATAGTCATTTACTTCTTGGACCTTTGTTGGTATCTATGGCCTCAGACATAGGCTGAATAATAGACTCCTCCAAAGATGTCCACCTCCTAATCCCAGAACCTGTGAATGTGTTACCTTATGTTGTAAAATGTACTGGGCAGAAGTTACTAAAACTAATTAATTGATTATTAATTATTAGTAATAAGCATCTTGAGATGCATAGATTACCTGGATTATCTGGGCCCAACATAATAAGAAGTGTCTATTTTCAGAGAGAGGTGTAGAAAGATCACAGATACAGAGAAAAGATTTAAGGATGGAAAGAGAGGTCAGGAGAGGAGTAAGAAAACATGAGCCAATGAACACAGTTGGCCTCTACAAACTCTTCCCCTAGAGCCTTCAAAAAGAATACCAGTCTGCTGACACTGAGACTCATTTCAGACTTCTCACCTCCAGAACTTTAAGATAATACATTTGTGTTATTTTATGTCACTAAGTTGCTGTTATTTGTCAGAACCACAACAGGAAACTAATACAATTCCCTTTCCTATGATGTCTTAGGGACCTTCCTTGGAAGGCAGATGCATGATAAACATAGCAACAGCTGGCACATATTGCATTTTAATACTCGCGTGGAAATTATTAACAAAAATAATCCAAACCCATAAATGCATTGTGCTGCTATTTTATGGTAGCATTGGTGGGCAGATGCTACTGCATTTCATTAATAAACTTCACACCCCAAAAGTACCCCATAAAAACACAAACAGTGGAAGTTTTACATGAACATCTTATTTGCTTTTATTGGGCATGGCATTCTCTATGACAAAAAGTTTTAGAGTTTTATAAATCCACTTCACTGCTGAAGCCTGTTTGTCTGGTTCTAACTGCATGCTTAGACAATTGAGAACCACTCTTTCTTGTTCAAGTGTGACACTAGTTTCACTCCTGAAAGGGTATCAAAGTTTATTCACCACTGGATTGCTCATTTTAAATCATCCAGAAATTAATGATCTTTCAGAAACCAAAGCCACCTTAGAAGTCACCTAATCTAAATGACTACAAGAAATGTAGGCCATAAGAGGGGGGGGGGGGGAATGTCCTCAGCTCAAAGTCACACAGCCAGGGAGAGGCAGGGAAGGACAGAGTAAGCATCAGTACTCAGGTCTCAAGACTCAAACTTCTGGAAATCCCTTGCTCCCTAGCAGGTTTCATACATGAGCAGATTACCAGAATCAGTGTTAAGTTGTTGTTGTGGCCATTATAAAACTTTTGCTGCCATTTCTCTTTGGGTAAAGCAAGAGGACCATTAATGTCTAGACTCCAGTTGAAATCAATTTCAAGTGCAAAAGTTTAAATCAATTGTTTTAAATATCAATCATTTCAAATAAAGTTAGGATTTTAGAAAAGCATTCAACTATAGGTGGGTAGAAAAAGCTTTCAATTCAGGCAAGAAAAGATGTGTTTCATCTGCAGGGCCCCAAGAAAACCTAATAGGGATGACTGCTCATGAAGAGTAGGACTAGTCCAGATGAAAGAGGTCAATGCTCTAAGAATCACAGTATGTGTTGAGACATAATTAATGTGTCAAACCAGTCGAGGGACCTCAGGTGAAAAAAGGACCTAGAATAGGGCTACAAAGCTGGTGTTAATCTAGGTTCTAGGGAAAAGGAAGGCTGTGAAAAAAGAAGCAAGGGGTGCCCATACTTATTCAGTCCGGTCGCTCAGTCATGTCCGACTCTTTCCGACCCCATGAACCGCAGCATGCCAGGCCTCCCTGTCTATCGCCAACTCCCGGAGTCCACCCAAATTCATGTCCATTGAGTCGGTGATGCCATCCAACAATCTCATCCTCTGTCATCCCCTTCTCCTCCTGCCCTCAATCTTTCCCAGCATCAGGGTCTTTTCAAATGAGTCAGAAGATGCCATGATCTTAGTTTTCTGAATGTTGAGCTTTAAGCCAACTTTTTCACTCTCCTCTTTCACTTTCATCAAGAGGCTCTTTAGTTTTTCTTCACTTTCTGCCATGGAATGAGCCTGTTGATCTTACCTGCAGAGAAAAGCTGGGCAAAGGAACTAAGGCTCCAAGATTCAGAGTCAGAAACTCTCTCTCTCTGGAGTTGTGCAGAACTCTGTTATCCGTAGACTTTTAATACTTAACTAT